AATAGGTATTGTATTACCTTTTTCTCTTTTATTGTTACTGTACATTAAAAGAAATTAATTAGAAAAAATTAATCTAAGAAAACATATATGTTATTTATTTAATGAATATGATAAGTCTAATTATTATTGGGAATGGATTAAACTTGGAGAAAAAACTATTATTATAATCATTCTAACATATTTTGAAACTGATATTTATTTAAAATCTTCACTATTAGGTATGTGTTTATTATTTTATTAAATTTATGCTTAGAAACATCGACCTTATATCATTAAAAATTTAAATAATTTAGATGTATAAACTGGATAAATTTGTTCTATTGCAATATTTTTAGCAGTCATAAAATATATTTGCGAGTAACAAAATAATATAGTTATATCACTTATTTTACAAGCAAAATTAGTTTTATTTTTTATTTTATTAAGTTATCCTTATTTAAAAAATATTGTCCACTATTATCATAAAAAATATTTCCATTTATTTTTAATTAATTTAACCAGGCTAATGAAATTGATGAAAATATCCATCATAAGTTCATGGTTAGATTTGAAAATCCATAAATTAAATTAAAAGGAATACAAATTATAAGAAAATTATGCAAAATTGAGAAATCATTTAATATCCATATCAAAATTTTAGTTAGAATAGTAAAAGTATTATATAATTACTTAAAAAGATCCTTGACTACATTATTAACATCTTAAACATTATCTAGAAATAAATTCTTAAGTTTTGAAATTCATCATAAAATAATTGAAAAAGGTCTAAAGAATTGACAATTTAATATTAATTATTTATAAGATATCATATTATTGGAATATAAATATCATTTTTATAATTTCAGTATTTATTAAACATGCTTTTCACACCCAAATATATCTCAATGATGATTTATCGAAAAACAATGTGTATAAATGAAATAATTATGGTTTAATTCACTATTAAATTTTTAATGTATTATGAGTGCAATAAAATCGCATTTAATTTACATTAAGCCTAATTTATTTATATCGATTTTCACAATTATTCAATCCAGCTTTATTAATTTTTATTGTTAATTTAATTTTAAACTTATATTTTATTTATATTTAACAAATTCTAATTTTGCTAAAGTAACTTTTTTTAATCATTGATTATTTTTATAGTAATTTATTAGCCTAATTTTTAGATATGCTTTTGATTGAGTAAGAGATGTTTCTATACCAAAAACAAACTTAAGAATCAAGATATTGCTATGTCAAATGATAAATTGTGACTTAAAATTTGAATTCCACCCTTTTAATATATAATAATTGAATTTCAAATTATTAATTTAATAGTTAGCATGTAAAAAAGAACAAATCAGTATAAATATATATTATTTCTAGTTTTGGAATAATATTTCGTTCGTCTAGTAATCATCTCAATTAAAGATGAATTATTAATAAATCCATAAATTTTCTTTTTGAATTAAGATTAAATTTTATTAAATTAAATTTTTATTGTTTTAATTATTTAGGATGAAGAAACCTTCCTATTAATTCATATATATCTATCTATTGATAACAATTAATTTAAATGGTAAATCATGAAAATTTTTTTGATTTTAGAAAACTTAGTCGATTAGTGTTGAACACTGTTTGTATTTATTTAATGATAGCTCCAAATATTTAATAGATTCTTGATCGACCTTAAAAATTTGTTTTGCTTTTTAGGAGTGATATAATAAAGAGATAGATTAAAAGTAAATCAGTATTATTCTAAATAGAGGCATCATAAAAGAAAGATTTAACTAGGAGATGACAATTTTATAATATATTAATGAGAGTTGGAGAGCTCCATTGTGCAGTAACAGTATAATAGGTATATCATTTCACATTTTATTATTTTCAATACAAATGTTAGAAGGACGAAATAATCATTTACTGATAATTATCACTCCGTTAAAAATATAGAATTCATTAATGCCATAAATATTTCAATAAATTAAAAGAGGATATAACATGTATCCAACAAGCATTTTTTAGTTTTGTGCAGTATCTTTTGTCTGATCATAACAAAAATATATTATCCTACTGAAACTTATTAATAGCAGAATTAAAATAAAATATAGATTGGAAGTTGTTAAAGTTGAAAGAAAACTAATCTTAGAAAATAATATTTAAATATAAATAAAACTAAATGAAAGTTTGAAAAACCTAATAATATTATTATTTTAATTCATATTTAAGGATTTGAAAGAGAAGACAAAATAGATAAAATGAAAAATTAATTGCTTAAAAAGGAATAGAATAAATAAACTTAAAAGAAAGCTTCTTGCTGAATGAACGAATAAATTAATTGAGAAGAAGCTTAAAATAAAACATATATAGACGATATCTAAAAAATGATAACAAGAGATGAATATAAATAAAAAAAAGCTAGAATTATAAAATTGAATAATATTAATTTTTTTAATAATCTGTCTAATTTATTCAAAATAGAGGGAGGAAATTTTAAACTAAGTAATCCATTTTAATTTAACGTTATTTACTTTCTAACTCATACCTGAGATCAATTTTAATTAGATTTATATTATATGATAAACTCTGCACTTGAAGAAAAAGCGAATGAATGACACTTTGAATGAAGAACTTCTTAGTTATCTATGAATTAGCCTTCATAGATAAAAATTATCATTAACTTCATTTTGCAATCAAAATATTAATTGTGTATTCTTTAATTATATTATATTTAAATTTTTAGAGTTATTCAATAAATCTAAAACTCAATTCACTTCTAGTCCTACAAATAATTTTTTAATGGAATCTGGAGGTACTTTGAATCAATCATTGAATATCAGATTGAATGAAAGTAAATGTAAAGAATGAGAATTGAAGATGCTGCATAATCTTATTTTATTAATAAATTTTAATCTATTTAGTATGACACATGAGCAATAATGTTTAAGATCTTAAAAAAAGACATTAAAAATTCAATATTTTTATTTATAACTAAAAAATTAATAATGAAGAAATCACTTTTAGATTTAAATTTCAATAGGCTTTACATAATTGATTTAGTTACATTAAGAACACTTTTTAACTTATCCTTGCCATTATTATAAGACATAAGTTATAAGATTGATGATATCATTTAAAGTATTTATATGATATTTTGATTTTTAAACTTGGGTTGCCATATTTTGAATTTAGTTATTACATCATTTAATATAGTTTGCTATATGTTTCAAAAAATTATACGCAATAATTAATTAATTATATTAATTATGCATTTTAATTATAATATCCACATCCAAGTTGAAATATTAGAAAGTATTTTGATGCTTATATACATAATCAAATGAATTTATAAATTATATATATAAACAAAGTAAGATAGAGATAGTACTTTGACTAATGGAGGTGTTTGTGCTAGGTTTATATATTTATATCAATGGAACTTACCATTGAATATCTACATATCTTGCGAGTACTTTGTGTAAAGTCATTACTTCTTTTTCTAACCTTGTTACTAATTGAATTTTATATCAGAAAACGCTAAATTCTTATAAGATCTATATACTTTAATAATCTCTACAGAACCTTGTCATCTTATTAGCTCCAAAATGGTTTTTTTCATTTTTTTTCTGCTATTATTACAAACACATTTTTTAAGTCATAAATAAACCATTTGGATTTAATAAGATAAGATATCAATTTACAATAGATAGGGTGAATTAACAATCTGTTTGAAGGCTAATGGATGAATTTCAGATTAAATTATTAAATAATTACTATCAATCTTGTTTCCTAAGCAGCTTTTTTTTTAGACGTATTTTTATTTCCATCATTTAATAATTCAATTCTTCACTATTTAGATGCCATTTCTTGTATTTATATTGTTATTAATTTATTCAAGAATTTCATCATTTATCTTTTGCTATATCTTGTCAGGATAAATTAATTTTTTTTCCACTATGTAACATAGGAGTTTGCAATGTTAATCTCTGTATAATCAAACATTTATTATTGTTTAAACTGTCTTAACTTGCAATCAAACTTATTAAGGTTGAATAAATAAAGAAAAAAAATAAAAATTCAGATAAAAATCAAATCTTGGAAATATTTAAAATTTCTATCTTGATTAACTAACATTTCCAAATTGTTTTCTCTTTTGTATAAGAGAAAAGAACCTGTTTTTAGGAAAAAAAATTGTAAAATTATTTTATGATAGATAGCTATTTAGTCATTTAGATTATCAAGACTTCCTTAAAAAAACATATTGTAAATTTTTTAATTATTACATTGCTTAGAACAAATTTCCAAATAAAATCAATTTCAAAAATAATATTCAGTTTTATATTCAAAGGAAAAAGATTGGAAATAAACGAAATCTTTACTGTTTATGATAAATCGAGTCAAAAAAGTCCCCTGATTTTAGAAATATTAGAATTTTAGCTTAAATCACTATTTTTTAACTTTTAAATTTATTGGGCACTTGTTTCTGATATAAAAAAATATTATACGAGCAAAAATACTGATTCTTCATACTTCACAGATTTTTGTCATATAATTATTCTGATTTTATTGTTTAGCATTGAGCGAACTAAATTAACCCGTTTTCATGATTTATACTTATTTAGTTTAATTGTAATTATTATTTCTTTTTTTTTTTTCATAAAAATGATTTTAAAATTTCATTAATAATAACTCTGCGCCTAGTTATTTAGAAATGTAAAGAATATAATCAAAAGTAATTCCTTTACAATGAGGAACTAATTTTAATTTTATTTCATCTGCTCTCTTTGTTACTGTTGAATTCAAAATTCTTCATTTCGATATTACATAAATATCAGGAAGATAATTTATTTATAATTATAAGAGCTTAAAATCCAAAAGTAGTTTTTATGACAATAATGATATTTTAATCAATTAGAATTTTCTGTTAATTTTTTTGAATAAGATATAAAAATTATATATAGATATTTATTTTTTATTCGAAATAAAAAGCAATTAAGCTTATGTCCTAATAAAGCACTTATTAATAGGAATTTGAGAAAACAAAAAAATTAAATGTATTTCTAAGCATAATTAGAATAACAATAAGAAAATTGAGATAGATTGTTTAACTATGTAAATTGTAATCAATTTTATATGAATAAAAAGTTTTATGCCAAAATCTATATAAAGCATCATTAGTACAATAATTAATTACGTAATAGACCTTAATTAAATTGAAAAAATAATAGAGTGAACCTTTAATGTAGCTTCTAAAATATGCATGTTATAATAATTTGGTAATTCGATTCAAAATTTTCTAATAATCAAAAAAAGATCTTGAAATTTTGAACTTTTAAAGTATTATAGTTTTTATAATTAATATAGCAAGTACATAATAAAATGAACATGCTTTAGAAGAAGCTTTATAATATTATGATCTATTAATTTATAAAAATCCTGAAGATTACAGTGCTTTAGCAAATAAAGGTAAAATATTTGTTAATTTTATATAGCAAATACACTAGAAAAGTTAAAACGTTTTGAAGAAGCTTTATAGTATTATGATTATGCTATTTAAAAAAATAAAGGAGAAGCTGATATATATAACAATAAAGGTAAAATTGATTTATCGTACAATATAGGAAATACATTATCTATCCTTAATAGATTTGAAGAAGCTTTACAATATTATAATTCAGCCATTTAACTTAACCCTTATAAATTTGATTACTACTTGAACAAAGGTTTGGAAAATTAAATAAATTAGCAAATACATTAGATGACTTAAATCGATTTGAAGAAGCGTTATAATATTATGATTATGCAATTTCAATAAATCCTGAAGATTATAGGGCTTTAGCAAATAAAGGTATAATTAAAAAGTAAAAAGTATAGCAAGTACACTAAAAGGGTTAAATCGTTTTAAGGAAGCTTTAGAATATTTTGATTATGCTTGTGAAAAAAATCCTAAAGATGCAGATATATATAATAATAAAGGTAAAATAAATTTAATAATAAAATATAGCAAACACATTAAAAAACTTAAATAGATTTGAAGAAGCGTTACAATATTATGATTCTGCAATTCAGCTAAACCCAAATAAAGTTAATTTTTACTTTAACAAAGGTTAAAGATATATTAAATTAATAGCAAATACATTAAAATTGTTAAACCGATTTGGAGAAGCTTTATAATATTATGATTGTGCAATTTAAAAAAATCCTGACGATGCTGATATTTATAATAATAAAGGTAAAAGGGAATTAAAAATACAATGTAGGAAATACATTTTCTGATCTAAATCGATTTGAAGAAGCTTTATAATAATATGATTTGGCAATTTAAAAAAATCCTGAAGATTACAGAGCTTTTGCAAATAAAGGTAAATTGATTTTATATTGAAATTTAGCGAATACATTAGCCAACTTAAATCGATTTGAAGAGGCTTTATAATATTATGATTATGCAATTTAAAAAAATCCTGAAGATATTGTTAATTACAATAATAAAGGTAAAATGGTTTTAATAATAAATTATAGCAAGCACATTAGTTGGTTTGAACCGATATGAAGAAGCTTTATAATTTTATGATTATGCAATTTAAATAAATCATCAAGATGTTGATATATATTTTAATAAAGGTAGATGTGATTTAATAGTAAAATTTAGCTCGTACTTTATAAAAGTTAAATCGTTTTGAAGAATCTTTATAGTGCTACGATTATGCAATTTAATAAAATCCTCAAGATTCTGATTTATATATTAATAAAGGTAAAACTGATTTAAAAATAATTTAGCAAATACATTAGCTAGTTTGAAGCGATATGAAGAAGCTTTAGAATGTTATGATAATGCAATTTAAAAAAATCCTGAAGATTATAAAGCTTTTGGAAACAAGGGTAAAATTTATTTGAACAATAATAAAGCAAATATATTAAGAGACCTAAATCGATTTGAAGAAGCGTTAGAATATTATGATTATGCAATAGAAAGAAATCCTGAAAATTCTGATATATTTATTAATAAAGGTATATTTAATTTAATAATAGAATGCAGCAATTACATTAACCCACCTAAATCGAATTCAAGAAGCTTTATAATAATATGATAACGCAATTTAAATAAATCCTGAAAATTATATAGCTTTAGAAAGGAAAGGTAAAATTAATTTAATAATAAATAAAAGCGCGTGCATTATAAAAGTTAAATCGATTTGAAGAAGCATTAGAATATTAAGATTATGCAATATAAAGAAATCCTGAAAATGCTGATATATTTATTAATAAAGGTAAATTTGTATTTAAAATAAAATTTAGGAAATACATTTTTTGATCTAAATCGATTTGAAGAAGCTTTATAATAATATGATTTGGCAATTTAAAGAAATCCTGAAGATTATAGAGCTTTTGCAAATAAAGGTAAATTGATTATATATTAAAATTTAGCAAATACATTAAGTGAATTAAATCGATTTGAGGAAGCTTTATAATATTGTGATTATGCAATAACAAAAAATCCTTAAGATGCTCATATATATATTAATAAAGGTAAAATAGTGTAAAATCTAAATTATAGCAAATACTTTAAAAAAGTTAAATCGATTTGAAGAAGCCTTATAATATTATGATTTTGCTATATAAAATGATCCAGAAGATTTTCAAGCTTTTGTAAATAAAGGTTAAATAAAATTTGATTAATAAATTTTAGCATTTACATTATAATGTTTAAATCGATTTGAAGAAGCTTTAGAAAATTATGATTATGCAATATAAAGAAATCCTGACAATGCTGATCTATATATTCGTAAAGGTAAAATGCATTTAATAATAAATTATAGCAAATACATTAGCTGACTTTAATCGATTTGAAGAAGCTTTATAATTTTGTGATTAAGCAATAAATAAAAATCCTGAAGAAGCTGATTTGTATTATAATAAAGGTAATATGGGTTTAATTACAACAAACAGCAAATACATTATCAGACATCAATCGATTTGAAGAAGCTTTATATTACTATGATTGCGCCATTCAAATAAATCCAAATAAATTTTAATTTTACTTTAATAAAGGCAAAACATTATTTAAATAAATAGCAAATATATTCAAAAAGCTACATCGTTTTGAAGAAGCCTTAGAATATTATAATTATTCCATTGAAAAATATCCTGAAGATGCTGATTTATACAATAATAAAGGTTTATTTAATTTAATAATAAAATGCAGCAAATACATTAGCGTCCCTAAATCGATTTTAAGAGGCATTATAATATTATGATTTGGCAATTTAAAAAAATCCTGAAGATTATAAAGCTTTTGCAAATAAAGGTAAAATTGATTTAAAAAAAATAATGTAGCAAATACATTAAGAGACTTAAATAGATTTGAAGAAGCTTTAGAATATTATGATTATGCAATATAAAGAAATCCTTAAGATATTGATATATGTATTAATAAAGGTAAATCGATTTAGTAATAAATTTTAGCTAATTCATTAAAAAGTTTAAATCGATTAGAAGAAGCATTAGTAATTTTGGGTTTAGCATTATAACAACATCCTGATTTATATAACAATTAAATAATGAGGTAGTTCTTAAATGAAAATTCAAAATATGTATCGTTTAGAAGCAATTAGGAATGATATTATAAAAAACATAAAACAACAATTTTTTCTCCTATCTTTATATCTTATTTTGGAAAATTCGAAATCTTAGAATAATTTTAAAATTCAATGTAATGCGATGCAACATTTTAGAAAATTAATTAAATATTTAATTATCTAAATCCTTTAAAATATTGTAAAATAGGATGAAGTGGCTCTTTACTTTTTCAAATTAAGTTATTCAAGAACATTTGTTTTTTGCCATAGTATAATTGTATAAATGTAAGAAAGAGATCTGTGGGTGAAGGTAAGATGGTTCTTCAAATATATCATGGATGCTATATCCGACTTATTCTTTTCAAAACAACAGAAATTAGTAAACATTCTTAAATTTTTTCCTGATTTCTCCAAGAATCACAATTATGCCAATAACATTAAATTTTATAATCCTCAAAGTCGTCAATCAGCTAATATAAGCATACTGCCTTTACTTATACAACAATAGCTCTGGAAAGACAAAATAGACAAACCAACTTGCTAATTATAAAAATTGCTAGATTTTCTTTTGATTATTTTGTAATCGCCCTTTAAGATGTTGTTTTAACTTATTTAGTTTAATCAATGATGTAATTTCTTCAAGATTCTATCGATAGAGATAAAGAGCGAAACTTGACTGTGGAATATGTAGTATTGCATGAATTTAGAAAAGATTCTTGAGGAAAAGTTTAATAAACAAAAGTAGCGGATTTGGAAAATTAAAAAGTTTAGAAATATTGAAGGATTGTATTAACTTATAGAGATTAAGAGATGTCAAATGTTTAGCATATTAAATTCAATTAGTGAAATTCAAGGAATAATTTTCACAATTTTCTATTTGCAATTAAATTATTAAGCGCTATTCAAATTCATTCCACTAATATCTACATTGTTAAATTTCAATCCAATAAAATTAGATCTTACAAAATTGCCTCCTAATAAAATCGTATTCCTGATTGAGATATTTTTAAAGCCTTCTTTCTTTAGATATCTTCACTACCAAAAATAAAATTAACTGAATTTTTTTCATTATATTATCTTAATTCCCTTGGTTATTGATAAAAGATTCAAAAAGCTTATGATTATCTTACTTTGAAAAAAACTCTTATATTTCTTTAAATAAATCTTAAATTTCTTTTTCCCACTAATTCTTAGCCTCTCTAGTTTTATCAATTATTTTTTTCTGAACCTTTTCTAGAAATTTCGTGCTTCATTCAATCAAACGTACTAATTTCTCTGATTCAGTTAAAATAATATAATTTCATTCTACCTAATAACATTTAAATATGATTTTTTTTAGATTTCATCCAATTCATATATTTAATTAATTGATTTTTGACATCCACAATTAAACTATGGTTCCATAAGCTAACGTCTGGTTTAATGACTCAAAAAGAACAAAAAATCAAGTAATTATTTTATTCTATGTTAGAATTTCGAGAACTATTTCTATATAATTTGAGATCTTATACAATTCTATAAAAATTCTTATTAAAATATTACCTATATATTTATTTTAAAGCTTTTGTTTTTATTTTGATTAATTTAATTTATGTGATTTCTGTATTTTTCAAAAAAATTTTAATAATATAAACATTCATACTTAACTGAAAAATCTTGAAGCATAAAGATAAAATTAAGAATCAATGCTTAAGCTGTGATATACTGAATTAGAAAAATTTTCAACAAAACTATTTGTATTAATCTTAAAGTTTTTGAATTTAAAGCCCTGCTTTAGTTTTCGATTTGTGAGTGGATGTACTAATATTAATGTTATTAAGCGGTTAGATAAAAATAAAGAGTTTGTATGATTATTAAAAAAAATTAAAATATGAATTCGAGAATATAAAAAATAGATTTTAACACGATGCAGTGAATCGAGAGTAATTGCAAGTATAAATAAATACCCATATTTGTCTAAGACAAATATATAAAGAAGGAATTGATGAAATAAGAATGTTTAAAAAATAGGTGATAAAATGAAAAATATTTGATTCTAATCATCGACTTAATTTTTGAAGAAATCTTCTGCTAATGATTTGACATGATTTTTGAAATAGAATAATCTTGTATGAATTAGTACAAATTTTTAAAGTTTTCAAATCCTTTTTCACAACATCTGCAAAAAGCTATTTACTCTTAGTTAACTAAGATAATTTTTTATAATGAATTATTCATCTTTATTTTATTATTAATATTTACAAAATATCACTTCTATTTTTCATTAAATATCAAATTTTATGAAATCTAAAAAACATCATAATTGTATCTTTGCTGCTAACCATAACATTTACATATAGCAGGTGTCCTTATTAACTCTTGCTCTACATTCTTTTGCAGAAATATAGGTTGAAAAGAATTGATGCTGTAATTCAAGATAATCATCCTTGAAACAGGTGTTCATGCTAAGACTTTTTATCATAGCATAATCTACCAACTTCAAAATAACTAGACACATAATGGCCTTATTTATTATTTGGTTATTCTTCAGATTCAATCAAATGATTCCCCTTTTTAAAACACTGATGCTACCATTTTCAATATAATTATCTTTCTCTTTTTTCCAATATTATCAAAATAATTAATTTTATATTAAAAATTTTATTCAAAAAAATACACATTTGTAAATAAAAAATTGGTTATTAATTATATTTATTTGAAGATTTGATATAAGTTATCTATAATCCAAAAATTATCACCTCTTCTATAGTCTTTCATTTTTCTCATATGCTGTTAGTCCCTTTTATTCTCATAACTAATCTTATTTAAAGTACTTATTATTTAATAGAATTAGGATAATAACAAAATTTAAGGTTACAACTCTTCTTTAATGTTGCTGTAGGTAGCAACAATCCGCTCTATCATTTGCTTACATACGTAACTTATGCTATTCTTCATTCGTCTTTTTGTTTCTAATGATATGTGTGTGTATTGGGTATTATCTGTTTACTAATATATGTTGTGCAATTATTTCATATAAAAATACTAATAATATAAATTGGCTTTATAAATGATGGTTATTGATGAATTAATTTTAAAAATGATCCTAATAACTTTAGGCGTTGGAGAAAAAAACAAAACAAAGAGTTACAAAGAAGCCCAACCCTCGTTGTTGGACATTCTCACAACCATTTTATTTCTCCTGTATTTGAGTACAAAAAGTAAAAAAAGATAAAACCCAAAATTCCCTCCCTGACCAGAAATTATCATTAGAATAAACCTTTATATAATCGATTCTCCATCCTCTTTAAATGAATAAGGCCGCTCCTCTTTAAAAAGCATAAAATAAAACGAAACTTAGTATTATTACTCTTATATCTAATTACATTTAAGTTAATTCATTTCTTAGAAGTATTATTATTATTAAATTTAAATAAATTTAATATTGGGTATTGATAATATTTTCAATTCACTCCATTGGCTACAGCCATGTACTTAACATTAAAAAAATCCTAAATGATTTATAGTCTAATTTTTGCCAAGTATAAAGGAAATGATACCATTTGAATTTCCGCCTCAATTTTAGTCTGAGTCATTGTAATTTCTTTACTTCTTTATATAAGTTATCTTAAAAAGATTATTAAAGGGCTCATAAAATTTAAGATTCTATGAACAATAGATTTCGGTAACTTAAAGAGTTTTTTAATAGATCCGTTTCTTAAAGAAAAAAAATTTTAATTTAGCAACTATGTTTTATATGGGGCTTACAAATGCATTGATTATATATTTAAAAAGTCTTTTAAACAAAAAGACATAATTGAAAATATCGAAAGATAATTATTAGATTTATTTTATTGTTTCATTGGGAAATATGAATCTAAATTAGAAATTAGAAAAATGGAATTTGAGTCTATAAGTTAAGGTAGTATTTAAGTGGATGCATTGAAATTAATTTGAAATTTGTAAATTTTAATTATCATTTTTTTCCTAATTCAACTGAGCAATAAATAACTTAGTCATGTTTAATTGCTTTCTTAACAATATATTGAACAGTATAAATAAACCGATATTATTCCCTGAATCAATTTTAATTGTGCTATTTTAACTGCAATGAAGATAATATTTAAAAAAATACTTTAATTCTCTTGCATAATTCTGAAATTCCTAGAAAAAGCTCATATAATAGATGAAAAGTTTTTGTGGAATGATTATTCATTTCCGAATTCTATTTTATAAAACAATTTATTTTTGAATTTTCAAATAGGATTAGTTACTTGACTTTGAACCTTACTCATTCAAAACCCAAAAGAACATTTTCACAACTATATATCTATATATGTAAGGTTAATAGTAGAATATGGAAGATTTAGAACCCATAGAATCAGTTCAAAAATAATAATCTCATCTAATGATTGTGTAAGGCTTTCACTCATAATAAAAGCAATAAAAAACTATTTGGTTAACAAGATTTGATTCAGGCTTTTGATTGGAATAATTTCTTGCTGTAAGCTTATAAAAATTCCTTCGTCATTAGCATATCATTTTAATTAATATAAAAATATACAAGTTAAAGAATTATTTAAATAGTGGAATCATTTAATATGAACTTTTTTGAACCATTATATATTAAATTGATTGACTTAATTTGCTTATTTATATATTTTTTTTTATTTATTTAGTGGTAGTAAATTTAGATTATGCATAATTGAAATTTTACCACTTCAATTTCTTTTTTCTTATACAATTTTAAGGTAAAATAATCTAAATCAAAAATATTAATAATTGAATATAAAACAATGGCAAAATCTTCATTGCAATAAATTTTAATTGGCAATATTCTGATAAGGAAAGGAGAAACAATAGGAAAAGGATAATAGGGATTCGTTTATAGTGGTGAATAAGTTCAAAATAGAAAGCCAATTGCTTTAAAATAACAATTGGCATTATCAAAATAAGAAGAAGTCATTTTATAGAAACTTAAAGGAAATAAATTCGATCACATTATTTAAGACTAACTTATGAAGAAAAATCTGATGGCTTTACCTATATTCTAATGGAATTTGGAAAAGATTTGAATCTGAAAGAAGTTGTGAATAAGGAAGAAATTTTTTTATAAGTAAACTTCTTGTATATTGTAGATGGTAAAGGGAGTTAAATAGTTTCACTAATTAGGATTTTATCACCGAAATCTCAAACCTGAAAATTTTATGATTGGCGAAGATGGTAAGTTAAAGTTGATAGATTTTGGTATTATAAAAGAAATTAAGGATACAATTTAAGTTAACTAGATTAACACTCTTAGGTATATCGCTCCAGAAGTATTTTTTACTTAAAATTATGACTAATCTGTTGATATTTGGTCATTAGGAATAATATTTTTTGAAATTCTTACAAATAATCCATTTTTTGAGGATTCTATGAACGTTATATAGTTACTTAAAAAAAGAGCTGAAATTTCATAGCTCTAAATTAATTCCAAGATAAAAGAACACAATTTGAAGAATTGGTAGGTGGAAATTTTATAAAGAATGATTGTTTAACGACTGGATAAAAATCAACAGATAATTAAATAAATCAAAAGGATAGGTATAAATGCTATTGAAGAGGAACTAGAAAAGTAATACAAATCTTAGAATATATAAGAAAAAGAAACATTTAAGTGGATAGAGAAAACAGAAGAGATGCAAAGCTTAATTTTTATTAATAACAAAGGCTCTTCCTTTGGGTTTAAATTCCAAATCTAGCATACAAAAGATTATGAAATTGTGTACAGCTAAAATGGGAGAATCTTAAGAAAGTTAAGTTTTAAATTATTTCTTTAGAGATTAAATTATGGATTTTTTAGAAAAACCTGAAGTGCTTACTAATATAGAATAAATTAAATTCTTTTAATGGAATGGAAATTACGGAGCAAACAAAAAAAAAGTTGGTTAATGGAGTGTCACATGGAAAGGATAAAGACTTTAAGGAGTAGGAGGATAATATAGTAAAATAAACGTAAGTTCATTATCCAATAATGGAAATAAGCATGGTTAATGGGTAGAAATTATTCCTAATTATTGGAGGTAAATTTAAGTCTTTATATATTTAGCTGGGCAAAAGCAATTTAAATTGGTTAATACCAAGATAACAAACGACAAGGAACGTGGAGGTATACATATAGAGATTAAGAAATGTAATAATATTTAGCTATCCAGGGGCGGTGGAGAATATAATATATAAGGTTTAAAATTTGGAAAATGGATTGAATTATGGGAATAATTTTATGATTTAGCTTTAGTCAAAGAAATAGGTTTATATAATGAGAATGGTAGAAAGATTGGTAAGTGGGATATTATGTATTGTAAGGATGCAGAGAATGGATATAAATAAATGTAAATATTATTAAAGCCTAATAAATATAGAGGTGGTGGATCCTATGATTAAGATGGAAATTAGAAAAAGATTGGAAAGTGGGTAGAATTAGTTGACGGGTTTAGTTGGGGTAAATAAATCACCTAAAATGGTCAATATAATATGCAAGGTATGAAGATTGGTAGGTGGGATATTATGTATTGTAATGATAGATGGAAGAATTATAAATAAATGTAAATATTATTATTGTCTAAGAATTATAGTGGTGGTGGATTATATGATTTAGATGGAAATTTGCAAAAGATTGGTGTGTGGGTAGAATTAGATGAAGGTTTTAGATGGGATAAATAAGTCACTTATAGTGGGGAATATAATATGCAAGGTATGAAGATTGGTCGATGGGATAGTAAATAATGTCCTCCATTCAGAGAGAACGAATATAAATAAATGTAAATATTATTAAAATATTATAAATATAGTGGTGGTGGATCCTATGATTAAGATGGAAATTAGAAAAAGATTGGAAAGTGGGTAGAATTAATTGAAGGTTTTAAATGGGATAAATAAGTCACTTATATTGGGGAATATAATATGCAAGGTATGAAGATTGGAAATTGGAAGCGAACCAACTTAAAATGAAATATATAATAAAATTCATTGAAATTATCAATTTTTTAATTTGGGTTTGCCCATTATGAATTTTGTTTCAGTAGTTAAATTGTGTTGGATATTCTAACCATTTGAAAATTTATTTTATATTTTTTTATAATAAGAGAAAAAAATAACATTTTTTTAAGTTAAGAAAAAAGGTTTTTATAGATATTTTACTTTTAATTTTGGCCTTCAAATTATATACAACCCTAAGGTGGCTGCTGTTCTATTTTTGGCCCTTTAGAAGAATTAGCTCCATTAGAATCAGATTATTTATTTTTAAAGGTTCTTTAGTAATTTTTTGCTCACTCAGCTACTTTTTTACACAGGGGTCATGTAAATGCATTTCCATTTAGATGAAGAAACATTTCTTTAGTTCTTTATATTAATTTATAATTTTTAAGACTATATCGCCAACGGAATGATGTTGATCTAAAAAAGTCTTACATCATAAAATGATTGAAAAATTAATAGAAATTTTCTTTTTTTTGTAATTACACTGATAGAATAATAATTTCAAAGTAACTATTTGTTATTTATAAAAATGTATTAAATAACTAATTAAATTATAAGTGATAGTAAGAAATAATATTCTTAGATCAATTTGAATAATCAAATATATATGAATTATAATAAATCTTAAAACTAAATAATGAGGTATTTTAAAATTAACACCCAAAATATAATAATTCTAAATTACAATTTAGATTAAATAATTTAAAAAAGATAAGGATATTAGTTCTAAAATCAATAGATATCGAATTTTTAAGTTTTATTGAAACTATTGTTATATATTTTTCATCAAGTTATAAATAATATGTTAATTAATTATATATCCAAAAAGTTCATTACCAAAAAATTAATAAGTAATTGAAAAAAGAGGTTTGAGCGAACATTAGGCTTCAATTATGAATAAGAACAGCAATTATTTAAAGGAAAGTCTATGAAGTATTTAAACTATTTATATTCAATTGTTTACTTAATTCTAACCACTATATAATAAAACTTCGTATTTTTTGATTAAGTTGTTCTAGGGCATAACTAAAAAAGAAAATATGTTGAAAAATCAAAGAATTAAAAAGATTTTCAAATTTACTATGATTGGAAATTAAATTTACAATACATTAAATATAATTATTCTCCAAAACTAACATAAAAATTATGATAATAACAAACACGCCATTTAATATATATTTACAACAATGCTTTCTCTGAATAACTAGGAGGTTATAAGTATTTTAATTAGTGGTAAAATAGACATATAAATATATTCTACTTATTGATATTTAGTCCTAAAAGTAAAATATTCCATTATCAATTGTTTCCACATTGAACAGCGTAAATTTAAAATACAACAGTGGGAATTATGACTAATTGAATATATTGATAAGTAGTAAGGAAAACATTGGAAAATGTAATAATAATCATGAGTTTGATAATTTAAAACGGATTAAGAAACAAAGAAATTTATTAAATATGCTTCACAATTGGAAATTAATGTTGAGAGGGCCACTAAATCATCAAATGACAAAATAACATCTTGAGGTACTTATCCCTAATTGATTATATCATTAATATTTTCCAATAAGGAAGATATTGAAATCATAGAATTTTTTTGTGCAAAAATCATCATAAGGGATAGAGAGAGATATTTAAAGAACGAATAAGTACAACAATAATTTTTTCATGTTAAAGAAGATCAATTAATCTAAGAAATTGTTTTAATTTTCATATTACACTCAATATTACATTATGGCGTCTGCTGTTAAAGTAGATTTGAAATCATTTTATAATACTTATGGTTGGGAAGTCATTAGATTAGACAATGTTTCTCCTCTTACAACTGATGTTTATGGCAATTTAATTAAACAGCTTTTGAGATTTCTAAACCAGGAAATCATTTTTCTTTGAATGCGAAATTGTGAAGATAGAAGTTCTATTGAGAAAACCATATTAAATACCGAAATTCAATCGCTTCAACTATATATTTTCAAAATTAATCATTTTATTTAGTTATTTGAAGACAATTTTCCATTTATTTGTATGATAAATCTATAATGATAATCATAATTTAATAAATTAATAAGAAAACTAATTTAATTTTCAAAATTTCTACCATGATAATTAAATTTTGTTCATTGACAAAATTTAAATTTTTTCTTGATTATGCATAATTATTATTAATCTAAATTACCTTTATTAAATCAAAGAAAGTTAAATGAATATTCATGAGAAGTACTTTAATTAGATATGCTAATGTCATATTATGAGGATTGACTCATTAAATAATAATAAAAATTATTTAAATCAATTCTATCTTTTAATTTAATCTAAAGAAGGAAATTTGGTTTTTTAATTAACTAAGTTTTCGAATATTATATTGAGTTCTGACCTTTTAGTATATCAAACTTATCATTAAAACTTTCATCTTCATTCAATTAATTCTTGCTATTTAAAGAAATATCCGTAATTGAAAGATATTTTATTAATCCTAATTAATTTTAAAACAGATTTATTATAATACAATTTAACATCCTCAGGATTCTCCTGAATTGCTTAATTTAAATATTATAGAGCTTCTACAAAACAATTGAGCTTAAATAAATTTATATAATATAATTGTTATTTTTTGATAATAATTATGCTTCATTTGCCAACCTCATTTAGTTTATTCCAAAAAAATTTAGTGTTTTATTTTCGTAAAAAGAAATGATTTATTTATCTAGAATTTGAGTTACTTAAGAGTCTACTTGGCGCTTATTCAATTTTTTTTCATCAATTTTCGGTAACCCGTTTTTAATCCATTACATTTCATTTATTATTTTTAGTAATTTAACTAATATTTATATTATTTAAATAGACTTATAATTATCTAAATTAAAAATTTTTTTGAAGTAAAATTGTGCCATTAACAATAAATTTGATTTTTTGTCCACTAATACTCTTTATATGCTTTATTTTTTTTAAATGACGACTAATGATACAACAATTCTTTAATTAGCAGACAATTCTGCTTTTAACAAAAAAACACAAGAATAAATATCTGATTTTCAACAAAAAATTGAAACTAAGTCCTAAAAGCAAAATTTGCACTTCCGTTTATTATTCAGAGCATTTGAACTTTGACATCAAATTTTATATTTTGAAAACAAATTTGTCGTTTAATCTAGAAATTTATATTAAAATCCCTAAGTTATAGGTTAAAAATATGGAAAAAAGTACTTTTTACTGAACAAACCAATTTGTATATGTAATGTATTTTATCCTTATAATAGAACTAATAAACAAACTTTTCTATCATTTTTTAAATCTTAATAATAATAGCTTTGCTTTTCTCCATCATAGTTTTAAAAGTAGACAAGCTAACTTTTTCAAAATAATTTCTCTCATCTTTTAAAAAAAAGTAAAATAACTAAGAAAGTATCATTAAACCCAACTTTCTTGGATCTCTTGCCCTTTCAAGTTAACTGATCTAAAAAGTTTAATATAGAGTAGGCTTTGTAGTAATTGAGAATTAAATTTACTTCTTTTCTAAATGATTCAAATTTAGTATTGGTCTGTACTATGCACACTTTTATTTTTGGAATTTTAAAATTATTTGCCATAATTTTATTATAAAGCTAATTAATTTATTTATATTTTTTGCTCTAATTGATTAAACCCCTTTTTTAACAATACTGACCTTTATATGAAAAATGTTAAATTCTTTAATATTTTTATAAGATTCGAAGAAAATAGTTTTTCTAAAGTTTTTGATATTTATTTAAAAACAAATATTTTTCCTGTGCTTGTAATTAATGAAAATAATTGATAATTAATTTATTAACGATAAATTGCATTTAATTCAAAAGATGATCTCACCAGATGGAACTACTTTAACATTAGGTAGTGAAGATGTTAGGACAGGATAATAAAAAGCCAAATTGGATGGCTATAGTGAATAGGTCTACTCACTATGCTTCTCACCTCCTTCAGCTTAATAATTTATGGTATTTCTTCAATTCATAATTTTTTCTCAAAATATAAATTAAAACATTCATATAACAAGTATTTACTAAATTTACAAATTCAATATATAAAATAATCTTATTAGGTTGATAATACTATAATATATACCTGAGTGAGATTTTCTTCAAAAATTTTCTTTCCTTATTTCAAAAGTTGTTCTTTTCTTGCCCCAATAATCACCTCATTATGATCACTTATCAATATATTTTTCAACTATTAATTACTTGCTATTTTCATTACTTTTTATTAATATGAAAAATTGTTTTTTAATCTAAATATACATTTATAATTTGTAAAAAAGATGATGAAAAATAAAATTTTTCGGTTAAATGATTCTTTTAAGATATAAACCATTTTTGTTTTAAAATCTATAAATGTCTTTCCGAAATGTATGATCTATATTTCCTTTATATCAATTTCTGAATTAATCTAAAATGGGTAATATTTTATCTAACCACAAATCCAAGCATTTTTCTTAAGCATATTCAATCCTCTATTTCCCCAACAATTTAATTTTTGATATTCCACATCCAAAAAAGATACTATAAATAAAATATTTTTACATGGTACCCATCAAACTTACCTCGTAAATTGTATAACTCAATTTTTAATTTATAAGTAATAATTCTATATGTTTCAATAATTTAAATAGTAAATGATTACTCTAAATATTTATCTTTAGTAAATTAAAAATTATAAAACAGCAATGATTTCTCTACAATAAGGAAATTTAATTTTTATGAATATTTTTGTTAAATTGTTCTTAATTTCATTCTCATATTCAACAAAATAAAGTACTATAAGATTAATATTAACTTTAATTTGTAATTCTTATATTTATTCAAGTTCTACTAATAAAATTTAATGTTTATGTAAAAGAACTAAAAAAATATTGTGGATTAATTAAACATTCCAAATTCATAACCTAATCATATAATTTTAAAATCTTAAATAGAAATATTATAATGTGGGAATAGTATTCCAACAGCTTAAGCAGAATTAAATATTTAAATTTCAGATTTAATTTAATTTTTATTTGAATAACCTTTAAAATAGATTCATTAAGCTATTTTATATTAATGTGTTTAATCAGAATTAAATCAACTGTTGAAAAATCCTAAAATTATCTATTTTTTACAATTCTAAAGTTATCATTATAGCATTTCCAGGATAATCTAGAGCATAGTCAACATTACATCCAATAAGAGATTTGTTTTGATATACTCATTCAGTTCTTTTATTTAAGTTTAATAATAATAAATGTCATCGTTGAATTTATTATTTATTTTATAGTTTGGCTTTTGAGTAGATACTTTAACTATTATGTATTTAATTTTATCTTCTTCCATTCAATTTATAACAAAATCATCTATTAATTAACTTTGAGAATTTTTTAAAGGTAAACTAAGGGTTTCTTGCATGTCAGTAAACATTTTTCCACTACTTAGATCTTTGAGTTGGAACTTCAATTATTTTGATCCTTCGATTTTCCTCCAAAAATTTTGGAGGTTAAGTATCGGGCATTACAACGACTTCTTAACTACAATCATCCTAAATATTGTTAGATTTGTTTTTATTTTATTGAAAATAACAATCCTTGGGTTTAGATGAATAATTTT